CTCCTGCTTGTTCCCCATGCTACAGGCATTAGTGTAGAGTCATATAGAGAAAGAAAAGCTCATGGAATGTATTGATCTATTAATTTAATGCAGAAAACATGTCATATTTATTAATTTATTTGCTATCAATAAAAAATATTTGGTCACCTCTTTATATATAAAGATAGACATGTCTTCTTGTATTTATTAGCTATAATGACACAGTAAAAGGCACAGCATCCCTGTTGTAGTGCAACATATTTTGTCAATCTCAGCCCATAAACTAAGAGCAGGAAGCCCCATAAGTAAGAATACAATATGGGCTTAGGTTCAGCAAGATATATACAAATAAAGGATTGCATGTAACATTTATAGAGCTTTTGTTGCGTGATCTTTTTAAATCATTTTATTAAAGCATTTTTATTCTTCATCAAACATTCATTTTTTGTCTAATGAACTTTTTTTCATGGCCCCATTAAATTTTAACATGATTTTTTTATAACATTAGGTATTTTCCTATAGTTATCAGCTGCAAAGAGAAGAAAGGAGAATTTAATAATGCTTTATTATTCAGGACAGGATTCTATGTTTTGAGATCCATCAAATTGCCAAGAGAAAATGCTTCTGTTTTTTGGAATTAATCCTGGCACAAACATGCTGGCACTAGGTCCAACATTTGTCATTCCCACATTGTTAATGATAAACCATGCTTTTGTGTTCCAAAATATGCATCTCAGCAACTGATACACTCAGGGAACTTAATAAACAAACTAAGCACATTAACTTTTTATGTAATCTGGTCTGTAATTAGTGGGTTCAGCTATTGAGAGTGTAGTGAAATGCAACATAAAATATATAAAAAACTTGCAATTTGAGAATTAGGTTTAAGAATAAAAGTACCGGAAGACATGGTTGAGAAATGAATTATAGTGAATAACCACCTTTAGCCTTCACTAAATATAAATTACCTTTGCAAATTATTTGTTAAATTTATCATTTTTAGCTTTAATATTTTTCTGGAAATCAGTGATACACCATGATATTTTTACCATGACCAATCCATGAAATGTATCAGCTTTGTCTATGATTCACAAAGAACCTTATTGTCAGATTAAATTGCCCACTGGACCCTAACCAAAGTGAGTTTTAACTAAATCAATTTAATATACTGAGATTTATACATCTCGTCTTTAAAATTATTTGATAATATTGTGCCCCAAATTCAAAATGTAAACGTGTTCAATCCACCCTTAATTGCCCTTTTCTATTAGGTGATATGCTTATACAGCACATGGCAGCACTGGGCTGAGGTGGATAACGTCATTCTTTGAGCACAAGTAGTAGCACACATTAGAGCCTATAGACCAAGTACAGTGTGGTTGAATGTGGCATTTACTGTGACAAATACTCATACTCCTAGGGCACGTCCCCACAAGGGCACACATACAGGCACTCACATGCAGGAGATCCCGGTGTCAAAAAAACCTGTGCCAGAAAAAAGCGGAGTGGCGCACACTGCTACCACATGCACTGCCTGAAACCAGAGCCTGGCTGGCCAGCACCATGCTCTGGCTGCCAGCCTGGCTCCGGATGCCTAGATCACCACTGCTGGAGCCCCAGGAGGGCCCCAGGCTCCAGGTAAGCTGCTGGAGCCTACCCAGGTGCTAGCCCCAGCCTTCCCTACCCCACCCTGGGCTATTTGCTATTCACCAGAGTGCACATGCGGGGGCACTTCCTGGGAAAACGCACATGTGCGCTCATCTGGACGTGCCTTTAGAGTTCACCTAATTTTCATGTTAGTAGGTCACTCCTTGTTATTCAAGAGACAAGGCAAATCTGTAAAGAACAGGCATTAGAAAAATGGCACAAAATGGTTTAAATGTCCCTCCAGTTTTCTTATGATGTAATAAAATCCAAACTACTTTCTTTTTGATGTTTGATTTTTGAACAAAAAATTTAGGAGGAAATCCTATCTGTACTGAAGGCAACGGCATAACTCCTATGTAATGTCCGTAACTTAATCTTTAGAGTATATTTAAGATTCATTGAAATAAACAATTTTCCTACCAGTCTAGTAACCAACAAATCATTTAATTACATTATTTTAAAAAATCCCAGAAGTAGGGAACTAATCACCACAGGAAGTTGTTGAGGCAGATAGCATAGCCAGGTTCAAAATGAAACAAGATGAGTTAACAGGTGGTAAATCTATCAATAGCTATAACAGAATAGTCAGAGATGTATCTTCTGACATCTCTATATCAGTGATGGCAGACGTCAGGGAGGATAATGATAAATCACTCTAGATATGCCCTATGCGCTCCCTCCATAGCATCTAGTTCTACCACTGTCAGAAGCAGGATACTGAACTAGTGGGGCCACCGTTTTGGCTCAGTATGACATTACTTATGTTCTTACGTAAGTATGGGGTAAGATACTCCATATTCATGGGATCAGTAACTTATCTAGCAGACAAAGTATTGACAAGGCCCAAAATCTAGAAACTGAAGTTAGACTAATACAGGCTGGTAAAAAAGTACAAATGTAACAGTCATGGAAAGTTATTACTGTAAAAATGTTTCTAAGAATACAATAAATAATTCACTATGTTTTAAGTCAAGAAGGTAAAGATTTCTAAAAATGTATCCTAGATGAAGCAGAAATAAATTGCTTGCTGTCCTAATCACTAGGTAAAATTCTATGGCCTATATTATACTGGAGCTCAGACTAGATAATCATAATGGGCCTTTTTATCTTCTATTAACTATCTCCAAATCCAAATTAATTGGGAGACCCATTAATCTCTCTGAATCAAACTGGCTGCCTCCAAAGCAATTCAGAGGGATTCGGAGATTCGGCTATAGACTGTACAGGCAGGCACTAGGCAATGCTGGTGAGAGCAGCCAGGGGAGCATCCGGATGAGCCCCAGCTTTAGTCAGCAGACCTGGGAGAAACCACAGCTCATCTAACTGCTCCCCCTGGCTTCCCCCCTACCAGGACGAGGCAGGCAGTGCTGGCAGCCCTGGGAGAAACTGCGGAGGCTAGGGGGAATGCTTCTGGAGCTGGGGGACTAAACCGGGAACTGGAGAATCGAATTGAGGGCTGGGGGAAAGCCCCTGTTCACTGCCTCAGTCCCCAATCATTCCCCTAGCTCCCCATTCATTCCCCGCAGCCCCTGCAGCTTTTACCAGGGCTGTGGGCTCAAGCCATGGCTCGTCTGGCTGCTCCCCCTCCACAGCAAGGCAGGCAGTGCTAGCAGCCCTGGGAGAAGTTGCAGGGGCTGGGTGGAATGATCAGGAGCTCAGGGGCTGAGGGAATGAACAGGGGCTTCCCCCAGACTCCTGGTTTGATTCCCCAGTTTCCGGTTTGATCCCCCAGCTCCCCAGTCATTCCCCCCAGCCTCCATGGCTTCTCCTGGGACTGCCAGCACTGCCTGCCTTGCCCCAGGCAGCCAGGGAAGCAGCCAGACAAGCCGTGGCTTCTCTTGGGGCTCCTGGCTCAAGCAGGGTCTCATCCAGCTGCTCCGGCCACCACTGCCTGCTTGTACAGTCTATGGCTGAATAAGATTTGGCACTGAATATCTTCAGATATGGATTCAGGTGAATTGAATAGGGACAGTGATTTGACTCACCAAATCAAATCACTGTTCCTACAAATTGCCAAATTCAAACTGAATACTTTCTGTTTCGCACAGGCCTAGTAAGTATGATGTCTCTTATCCAAAGGTCACTGAAGGTGCTAGAAAAAAATCCCATTAGCTTCAATGGTCGTTGGATAAAGCCTAAGATTAACTCATAATACTAACTGGGAAATAAAAATCAAATGTGTAGATTAGAAGCCATCAAGTTGTGTCTTCTTTATAGGCTATATTTATAGCTCAATACAAAAATTTGTCATAGATCCTCCACCTTCTGCTTGTAAGTCTAATGAAGACATATGGTCAATTTTACTTTGTACTAAACATTACTCTCATACTTACTCATATAGATCCTTCAAAGGTGCAGTCAAAATGGCCAGTACTGTGAGCAGATTGTTGCACTGATTGTGTATTTTATAGATTTTAGGGTCTCTGTCTTTATGTGGATTCAGAAATTCCCTCACTGAGCTGCAAACTGACCACAGTATATTTTCAGTGGACATTAAAATTGCTGCAATATCAAATCTGTAGGGGACAAAAAGAAAGAAAGCACAATGTCATCCATGGAAGCAATCTGATGGTAAAACATCAGCTAAATCAAAAAACTTTGACAACATAAAAAATACTCAGTTCCCACCATGGACTTGAACCTGATTCTTGGCCATCTCAGCCCAGTTACCAAATAATAAGAATCTCTCTCTTTCTCCCTCTCTGAGGAGCTTCGGTGGCAGCTTCTACTTGGAGTCCTGGACACAGGCACTTTTGTTCATCACTCAGACCCAGCACATCAGTGGCCTGCCCTTTCTGCAAAGAGGAGGGGGAGGAGACCTTCCATGTCTTCCTGGTGCCTGCAACTGCTCTTTGCTGCCCTCAGTACTCTATTTGGCATGCTGGACTTAGACGTCTCTGATACTCTCTATCTGATACTGAGCAGCCAAAGGGAACATGAGTTGCCTGGCCAATTTCCTGCCAGGCCAGGCTGGGATGGTGACTTTGAAAGGCTGCAGCAGCCAACTCTACGGATGCCTTACAACTCTTTTGCTTTCTGGTTTCGGCAAATGTCACATTTGAATATGGACACTTCACCTTGCAACAAAATGTGGACCAGTTTGGACAAAATATAGACACTGGGCCACTGAGAGGGCCCTCTGCAAGGTGGAGGATGGACAAATGATCCTACATGTATAAACCCTGAGAGGCATGGGGGAGAGTGGTTTCAATCTCCAGTGACATGGTGATTTTCTTTTTTTTGTTGCTAACTAGTGTTTCAAACTCTGCTGCTACGAGGGCCACATGCCTTTGAACTTTCACAATTTATTTTTAATATTTGTATAATAAAGTTTTAAAAAGGTAAAAAAAGGCTCTCTCTTTCTGCCTTAATATATTTGTAAATATTTATCTGAGGTGGAAGAAACTGATACTCCATCTCAGAATAGACAACATTGGTTGTACAGACATCAAGCACTGGATCAAACACAACAGGAACCTGAAACTGGTTTTCCCACATGCAAGGTGAGTGCCCCAACTAATGAGTTATTTGTCCAACTTATTTTTCATGAAGAAATTTGAAAAGTTTTGAGTTTGTCCTGATACAGAATAGGAGAGTATTTGAAATCCTAAATTGAAATATATTCTGAAAGAGAGGATCTGTTGTGGTGATGAGATTTTGAGTTGCTCTGAATTTTTGTTAGGAAGGAAAAATCATTCCCCTACTTGCTTTAATTGACCAATCAAGGTGAAGCTACCTATATGATTCCTTATCTTGGATTCTGTTATTCTCCAGCATCTTCCACAATTCCAAGGTAATATCCAACTATCTCCCCTCCTCTGTAGTTTGCTTCCCATTAGCATGTCTCTTTTGACATGGGCATGACAGCAGGGCTCTCAAAAGAATCTAAAATCTAATGGGCACCTATTTGTTTCTTTAAGTACCTAACTACCTTAAGAAAATCTGATCCAAAGTCCATAAAGAACCTCCAGTTTGTTTCATAAGTTTGTCATTAGAACCCCCAATACAACTATAGAATGAGAAACTTAATTATTTACTATATATAAATATACACTATACACACACACACTATCTAGATATTCACTCCAATATGTTCTTTTTATTTTTTAAATTATTGCTGGATTGTTCATGTCCAGGCAAAACTAAGAATAATAAATGGGTTGCATCATCATATGTGAAAACGGAGGCATCCAATATTCCCTGTGGTCCAATACTTTAAACCAGGTTCATGCTGAATTGAAAATACTGTAACAGTACTTAGATATTTGACAAATCTCAAATTTTTCAAGAAAACTGTTAGGGAAGGAGGTTCTTAATGTTAGGCCATACGGTAACTACAATAGTCTAATCTTACAACATTCTGTATAATACATGAACATCCAAAATATCACCTAATATATATCCCAAGTATACTTAAAGTGACCTTATTCCAGAACACTTAGTTCAGGATTAAAGCAGAGAATGGAAAACCAGAGTTTTATTCCTGGTGAGTGACTTTGGACAATTTTCCTAATCATTCTGTAATTTAATTTCATCATCACTAATATGTGAATGACAATACCTCTGAAATTTCCAGGCATGTTTTAAGCCTTCTTTCATTATTGTTTAGAGTTACAGAATTGAGGATCATCTAGTACAACCTCTTTCATAGATACTGGGTTTACTATTCCTAAATCTCTCAAATTACATGTCTATACAGTAATGGGGATCTCTATCTAAACCTATAAAGGTTTTGGTGCAGTTTTTGAATGACAGGCAGTTTCAGAACGCCCAGAATAAAAACATAGTTGGCCCAATAAAAGATACCATCCTAAGAAATTCTGGCATGTCTCATAATTTCTGGACTCTCACAGCTACAACAGCATTCTTACACTACAGAATCAAAACCAAATTTTAAATTTCAATTTCAGTGTCAATTCTGCATTTAAAACTATCATTAGGAGTTGCACAAATGTATTTCCTTTGGTGGGTTTAGTTTCCATGAAAATGACAAACTCTCAGGGTAACTCAAAATCTCATGGTCACAACAGACCCTCTCTTTCAGAATACATTTCAATATAGGGCAGAGTGAAAAAACAACCAAAAAAAGGAACAAAAAAACCAAAACACAAACACTGATTTCTCCAAATAAACAGGAGGGTAAATAAAAGGAATGAGCTGGAATGTTAAAACGTATTTGCAGCCCAGATTTCCTGTCCTTTTCACCTCCTAAACAGAGCCCCTTCACTGGCAAATATTAGGGATTGCAAAGGGTAGGTCTGTCTTCAATTACAGGGTCATTATTAGGATGGGGGAAGAGAAATCATGCACTCCTGGACCAACCATTACAAAGTTCATAATTTTTAAAAAATGAAATCTTCATATTTTTCCAAGCAGGAAGCAACTGTGACCACCTGAAACCTGAGATCCTGCTCCTGCCTTTGTTTCAAGGTAATTTGCATCATCACACATCCTCACAGGAAGTGAGAGCCTTCATACCAGCTGTGAACTGACTACCCAGAGAAGCTTTCCATCTATTGACTCCTCTGTGAAATCCTATGAAATATGAACTTTCATTTCTACCCAGGAAAACTTTTACAATCTTTTCTCCATTGCCTGATGAACGGTGTTTGTGCCCAAAAGCTTGCAATTAAAGAAACTTTTTTTGCAAAAATCTTGTTTGTCTAATAAAAGATATCATCTCTACTAGGAGTCCTGATTACCTTTCAAGATAATTCAGGAGCTTCTCAGTTGGAAAAGCTGTGCGTCCTAGAAGATATGATAAAGTATGTCAGGGCATGTCTTCACATGCAATTAATGCTCAAAAAGTTTACTGCACAGTAAGCTTTCCTTGAGTGCATGTCTACACGTGTGCCCGTTGGGAGCAAATTTGCTCCCAGCAGAAGCAGATACTCCTGCCCTGCTCTGTTACTATATGGCAGCTAGGGGGAGCACTAGGCTCCCCTGGGTGCTAGCCCAGGACTGGCAAGGGGCACCAGTATCAGCCCTGGGCTTCAGGGGTTGGGAGCAGCTGTCTCACCTCTGGGGCAGCTGCCTACCACCCTGCACCCCTGCCCCAGGCAGCTGCCTGCTGCCCAAACCCCTCCTCAGAGTCCACAATCGGAGCTGGCCCCAGCAGTAGGTAGCTCCCAGGGGAGGGGATTGTTCTCCCACCCACTGCTGTCCAGGAGTAAATTGTTCCTGGTCAGGTGTGTAACCATGCACTACTGTGCAGTAACTGTGGCACAATAAATCTACTACCTGTATTTATAGGTCATAGAAAGCCACACAGCAAGCTAATCTACTGCACAGTAGCTTCTGCACATGGTTACATAGTGATGCTTTACTATGCAGTAGATTAGTCTACTGTGCAGTAAAGCATCTAGTGTAGACACACCCTCAGAATAGCATGGAGCAATCGCTTACCCCTTTCCTTATGTATGCACAAATGCTGTGATCACTACCTGCATTTCCTTTGGCCTGTACAGTCACTGCTTCTCTATATCCACGGCCTTCTCTATATCAAGTATCAAACCCTTTAGCCAAACCCCTAAACTTTACAAAAGACAGAATTATACGAGCATAGTAGTAACAACACATGGGATATGGAACCATGTATACACTTAAATATGAGAGGTGCAGTTAATTGAAATGGTCCACATAGAAATGTATCAATTTATAACTCTATTTATTTAAGTTGCAGACACATAATTTCAGTCAGATGAGTAACAGCAAATAGTATAAAATGAAAATACACGTTATCCATATAATTTTAATTACATACTTGCATTACCTTATCTGTGGAGTTCTCTTGTAAGTGGGTTGGGCCTGAAAATATCTACAGGACAGCACAGCCAAAGATTTTTCCAGCACTTCTGTCAGTATCTCCTGGGCTAACTTGGGGGGTTGAATAGTCCACAGATCATGATGAAGAGCACAGCAAAAATAATGCCACATCTGGACAGAGAATGAACATCTTTCCCCCTGGCAAAACCACACATATTAAACAATAGAAACGCATCTTCCAAAATGTCAGTTTGGTTCCTGTGAATCTAATTAGTTCAGGCTGAGAGGAAATAGCTGAGGAGTTTTAAACACTGGATGACTGAAAAAAGAGATTCTTGACAAGATGTTAAACATCTTTATTGACAAAAAAGCACATGTTCTACTAAAGTTAGGAAACCAGTTTTCTACCACACAGACAAACCACAAGCATCTCACCTAACATATCCTTAGTTAACCTACTCTCAACCTATTGTTTTAATTCTACTTTAGAACTACATGCGATATTTTGCAATCACTTAACTAACTGGATTAGTTTGATATACTGACTGCCTCTTCTTCAACAGAAACCAAATCCTTTAAATTACTTAAGCATGTATATTTCCCTGGATTCGTAATCATAACTAACAACTTTTTATAAAATGTTACTGGCATAATTGCAATGAAAAAAAAAGAACCCCCCCCCCCAAGCTATAACTCATAACAACTTCTACATGGAGTTGGCCAGGAATTTATCTATAACGTGACTTTTTCACCTGATAATGCTAATTCAATAAAAGAAAAGCTTTCAAAAAACCCTTTTGGCAGGAAAAGCTTCTCACGTCCAGGGTTGATTTTCTGGTTACAGAAAGTAAGCACACCACTCAAAATAGCCAAGATTTCAACGGTTATGACACCCACCTGGGATGAGAAATGAAAGCTCATGAACTGTTCTACCATTTTCCTACTATATTCTAGGGGACTGCCATAGCCACTGAGCTATACAACCTCTCTCTCTTGCTCTCTCCCCCTCCCCCACCCTCCCACTCTCTCTCTCTCATCCAAGGAATATTTAATGAGTTATTTACACAGTGCAGACCAGCTCCAACAGGGTATTGAAAAATGACCAACACAGAGTAGTCAAATAACCTATGAGTCATAGCACATACCTGGGAAATGGGGGTGTTTTCACATGTACTCCAGAGGTGAGGGGGAGGTGACTCTTTAATTAGAGCATCTCCAAGAACCCCTCTAATTAAAGTGTTCACAGTGTCTTTCTGTATTCAGTGTTGCAAACTTCAAAATGGTGCCAAGGGCACTTAAGTAAAACTTGTTCAATGAGCTTTAAAGTGCCCCCACCACCATTTTGAAGTTGAATACACAAGACACAGAGGCTGCTGGAGCATGTTAATAAGCATTCTCTGAGGGTAATTACAGCATGTCGAAGCAGCATCCCCACGCATCTACAGGCACCCAGGAAGACGAAGACTCAGATATGTAGGCTGAACCATACAGAGCACAGACTCACACTTTGGTACCTATATCCCAAGCAAGTGCCTTGATCACTGTACTAGTTGTTATTTTAGGGTAAGCAAGTCTTTCCCTCCCTCTGTTTCCTTGTTTGTTGCTATTTCTAAACTATTCTACTGGTAAACATCTGCTATTTTTGCAGACTGTCTATAATATAAACAGATGTAAGCTCTTATTTAGCTTATATATCAAGAAACAAGCAGCTGGGCTTTATAACTTAAGCCACTCAATATGATCTTTGAACAGACAATTCTTTATTCTTTGACTATTAGAAAACATAAGTTCGTAAAACTGTAGCAGATGTGTACTACACTAAAAACTTGATTCTCTAAACTGGAGATCTGACTTAGTGGCACAGTGGGTGTTCAATCTACTCTATCAGTGTGATACTAACCTTGATAGTTTCAGACCCCTGACAGTATAGACTCCAACATGCTTTATGGAAATAATGCAGCAAGGACTAAATTTGTATGTCAAACACATACTGATACAGAAACACATATTGCTCTGTATCTTGTAAAATCATTGCTGAACCTTTAGGCTAGGGACAGAAATTACATATTAATCAGTATAAGTGATTAGAAACCAGTTCAAATCTGCAACCTAAGAAGTTCAGTCCACATAACCCACTTTCAACCCCCTGCCCTCCAATCATTATGGAACTATCTGTGATTTTCTGAATCCAACTTCCAACTGCTGTATTATGGAAGTGGTCTATGGAGAATGCGACATGAGATAATATAGTTAGGTAACCAGAAACAAAAACATTTGAAAATGGAACAATTTTTATTTCTATAATGCAGAAAAAAAGCCCCCACCATCTCCTGCATCACCTTCCCCCTGCTACTGTTTTCTCTGCTACAGTGGGGGATACAGATTTAAGACAACTCTCCAATAATAGATTTATAAATGCCCATGTACAGAAGCTAATTATTGGGAAGTTTCTTAAATTCAGTCATCTTGGATTCAGATACATATTATAATATCACGTTATTTCATAGACTATAAAATAGCCATGGATTACCAGTACAAACTCAGAGCCTTTGGGCATTATTATTACATATATACATGCATAAATACTGTGTATAGGAACTACCACTCTAATCATAATCAAAGCAAGTCACATTCTGGCCCCTGTACTTATGCAGAGAGGCTTTATTTTGCATACAGTCCCATTTTTGGTGGGGTGTTGCTTGTTATACGCACAACACCAGCCTACCGGTTCTATTCCTACATGGTAGGTAGGGATTCACACTGGGGACATAGGCAAAATAACAGCTCATTCTTCCTAACCACCATTTGAAAGCTATGTATCCCTTCCTATGTGCATCAGTTGTGACCAGGACCAAAAGGACCGTTTAGCCAGTTTCTGCTGTCTTTGCCAAGACCATTAACAAATTTTGCCATTCATGATGATGTTCTGCTTTTGTTTTCTGAAGTAGACAAAAAAAATGGGGCTGCTGTTAATTGACATCATCCACATGATGGTAAATTTAGATTACAGCCAGAATACACCAGATCTGAATCAGTGGCTAAAATGTGTTGTGCTTTGTATCTTGTTACCAACTTCTGAAACATCCAGGAATTGCTTCCTTTATAAGTCTTCTCTGATAGACGGAACTTGTAGAGGTATCAGTCACAGAAAGGCATGTTTAACCAACTGACCTCAACAGATCCTCAATACTAATGAAGAGACAGTGTAACACACCAGCTCTTCCTATCTGAATGCCAAAGTGTCATATACTGAGATCATTCTTTTCCCCATTCACATCTGAGGAATGCTAGGATCAGTCTCAGAAGTCCAGTTCTTAAATACAATAATTGTAATAAGAAAAAGTAGGGCTATGATTTCTGAAGATTCCACTTTTACTTATAATAAAATTATAAAAGCATTACTTCACCTTGAAACCATGCTTAAGGAATTTCAAGCAGTGTGTGGCTTATAATCAATGGCATAGTTTATTGAAAGGGGAAAATAATCAAGTGTATGCTAAGTATTAATTTACTTAGTTGCTCCCTAGTTTTCTGGTATTAAAACCATTAGACTACAGATTTTAACAGCAGATTTGGGATTCCAGAACTCAGACAAAATGACAACATCCAGGTTAAAAATAGGGGGCTGGTTTCTATGGACAAGAATACTGGTTACCTTATTTAAACTTCATTCAAAGCGAAGTCAAGAAAGCAAGTTCTTGCAATTAGCACAGGTTTACTTCATTGGAGAAAATAATTATGATTTTTTGAGTCCTATGTTAGCTGTATGCTACCTTTTCTTCTTTTCAAGTAAACTGGTTATTTTCAGCCTATTCTAATAAAAAGTATTTTACTCAGCAAACAGAATGGGAGCATTTATCTTATTATCTTACTGAGTATCTTAAATCTTTCTAAGTTATCGCTTTAATCAATCCTAAGCAGCCATGTACATACAGTAACACAGACATTTCTAAAAATATTATATCCCAACAGCGATGTGCACAAGAATTGCTGACCTTATGTTTCTAATTAGTCAGAGAGCTGGCAAGCAGTAAAACACATTTGTGTAAAAAGGAACGATAGTAAACTTAACCTCACACCTCATAAAAAGCTTTGTAGTCATCCCAGTGGTGGCTCTCGGCATCCTGTAAAATGCTTGTAGCACAAACTCTGACGCAGTAGTTTATAACTTGAAACTGGAGAACATTGATGAATTCCTGATATTGTTGGACAGGCACTAGAAACAGAGGTCTGTTTGGAGGGAATGATCAAAGAGGCAAAGATTTAAGGCCAGTGCAGTAGGAGGTAACAAACCCCAGTACTACAAATGTTTTTGATTATTAGATATCAATCATTTATTTCCTCTCGTTCTTGGAGTCCAAGCCTACATTCACTTTCAAAAAAAATCTGAACTTTGTTTTGCAATCTCTTTGAAATGTACATCTGCTGTTCTACAAATGTGTACTTCATTTTTAGACAAACTGCACTGTCCATACAGAGTTTAGAAGTAAAAGTGTTCTCTCCAATCTTTAAGGGTCAGAAGGTTCTCTGTTATTCAATTTCTCTGGGATGACCATATGCCCCTGTCAGCAGTAACTCTTATATAGAGTAAACACAAAGAGCTAGATATTATTTTAATAAAATAAAAATATAATTGCCTACATAAAAGTGTTTTGTAAAAACAATGACCAGGCAGTATTTTGATGCAAATATTCTTATGCACCAAGAAAGATCTTATGCAAGAGAAAGGATTGTGAAACCTTGCATAGTTTACTGATTTACAAGCTGGTCCCAGGTAGCCAAAGCTGCTTCAACTTTCACAGCAGCTGAGTATGATCCTAATGAACCATACATCAGATGAGAACTGTCAAAGAGGAGCATAGTGCTAACCTCTGTCTTCATACACCACTTTTCTCCCTAATATGTACCCTGTGGAAGCACATGCAAAGGAAAAGTTGGCTTAGAACAAGTTCAGCTAGTGTTCCACTTACATAACATGCCCCTTTCTTCAACAATGGAAACTCTCTGTTAGGGACAGAAGTTGCCTATAAACCAGTGTCATTGATCAAAAATCAGTTCAAATCTGTAACATAACAGAAGCTCAGTGCATATAAACCACTTTCAAAATGGGCAAAACCAGTTTAAGATAAGCCTGGATAGATGTAGTATCAGACTAAACTGATTTAAGTTAAATTGGTTTATTGGTTAAATTGGTTTATCTTCTGTCCCAGATTCAAGTCAACTCAAAGACCATCAGCATGCCAGAATGCTTTGCACCTTCCCTGCAAAAATCTCCCTCACAGGGTAAGCAGGCTAGCCTTGGCCCAAGCTGTCTGCTCCAGCAGAGCAGGGAGGCATGCTCTACCACCACCATCTTGACCCTGGGCTTCTGGCCTGGGCCACTGCAGGCATGTGGCTACATTTCCAAAATCAAATGTCTGTAGACTGTTTGTTCACTTACATATCAGTTCAGTCTAACGTAGTTTAGACTAACCTGAGAAGACTGAATCGATTCTGCTTCAGGCTTTTTGATTGTCTGTACTTAGCCCTTGTGACAGATTAAGGCCTCTTTGCCCCATTCAGGACGAGTGGGCTCTTTGTTTTTAAATTCAGGCATGGATCATAGCATCTCAGTGACTACAAGATATTTTAATTAAATATCAAAATCATAGCAATATTTTTTTTCTTTTTCTGGAGATATATTAAAACTGGATCCTTGAATCCAAACACATTTGAGATTCCGGTAATGGATGAATTTTGGATTCAGATGTTAGGAACTATGGCCCACAAAGGGACAAGTTTCCAGTTTTAATTTATACAAGGCCAGAATCACATGGGTTGATAAAGGGATTCCTACTGTTCTGAGCCAAAACCTCTAAGGAACAACTCACATTATTTCAGTCCTATCAAGTCCAAACCTGGGTTCTACTGCAGGCTCTAATGAGAACCTTTGCATAAACCTATTCTAAATCCCAACACCATTCTTTGGACCTTTCTCTAATCATTACCTAGCAGTAAACTGATTTATTTAACCAATTACCACCTTATATTTAAACTATATCAAGTACATGTTTTCATGTTCATCTATACAATCTGTATGAAAGAGTACAGGCGTGTATTTTTATTTTATAATCAAATGCGTTAAACATGCAATGAATATTAAGCTATTAGTGCAAACAAATTTGAAGCAAAAATCCTAGTTTTCTATTCATATTATTGTATGATGGAGTCAACTACTGTATTAGCATATGGTTAGTAAGAATTTGCACTGATTTACCAATATAAATCTTGAAAAAAAATAGTAGTTTTTATAACAGCTACTTCAAGTTGTCAACACCTTCGATTCAGGGTTTTCTTAAAACAAAACAAATTGGGCTTAACCTTTAGGAAATATTTGGGTATATTTGCTACTTCTCTGCATCACTGAAATACAATTAAAACGCCAAATTATCTATTTGAATTAAATGATTAAATTGAAAAGGACTCACTTTTTGCTGGTCTTTCTCATTAAATTATCATACATCATAAAATTCTGAAAGATATATACAGCTGTGGAGAGTACAGCATGTAAGTTTTGCAGAGGAGCCTTGGATGGAACTTCTCTGCTTCTCTCCTCCAACCTTGCCAGAACAGCTGTTGCTACTTTGCAGCAGGCCTCTACAAAGTTTGCTCTGATTTCCTGAAAAGAACCATCTCTGCATGCCAGAGCCAATGGAAGCAGTGTGTCAAGTTCTTCCATGATGTCAGAACAAAACTAGGAAGAAATAAATGTGGCATCAAGTTATTTGTTCTGTGACAGAACTGAGATTTATATACGGTCAAGCTCTTGAATAATGAAATTGGCATAAAACATAAATATCATGAATCAGTTTTATTAAAAAAAAAAAAAATCACTCTGGGTTACAAGGAAAAGCCTTTATTTATAATCATGTGAATACATCAAACATGACTTTATAGCCTTTATGCTGTTTAATTCCACAGTGCCTGTTGAGAGGAATTTAGGGGCCTAACCTCATAGGACATGTCTACACAAGATGCTACTGTGAAGTGGTTACTGAGCATTTATTTAGTACTTGTAGAAGCAAGTACGAAATAAATGTGCAGTAACTGGAGTTACTGCGCAACAGCGCCAGAAAACGTCTTTTAAGTGATGCTATTGTACAGTAGCCTGATACAACTACACAGTAGTGTCTCGGCACGGTTTTGCCACACGATGCTACTGTGTATTCAGCATCTCATTTAGACAAGCCCCTAATGTCCTAATCTTTATAATATATATTTAATAATATTCTGAAGATAAAATTAATTCCTTGTGACCAGGGATAATTTTACAAATTATTTTACCTTTTTCAAAATACATTTATTAACATTACTTGTCAGTAACATTAGAAATGAAATTGTCATTGCCAAAAAAATGTGTATGATAATAAGGTCTGTAATAGGATGTGATGTACTGTAAGAAGATAAAATGTTTGCTAATATGAGACAGAATTAACTCTGATCTT